TAGGTCAATGTGAAAACAAAAGCCCAGGGTTAAATCCCCAATACTAGAAGAAAAAAAGAAAGAAAATCCACTTAGTTGGATCTGTTTTTTTCTCTGAACAGATGACAGCAGTGAGCAGCAGAGTGACAGTGTTCAAGAAGAGGACAGGCCGGTGTGAAGAAGACTTGCCCATCACTGTCTTGTCTTGGAAGCTCCGCTGCAGATGAGCTCTTCATCCGCTTTGCCTTGACTTGCAGCCCTGCCCAGGAACTTGCATTAGCAACAGCCGGGGTCCCTCAGCCAACGAGAAAAACAAGCACACATCTTTCCTTGCATTTAAAAGCAAAACTGGTTTGACTTTGCTGTAAGTTTGCTCAGTAGTGCCCAAAGCTTCAGGAAGGAGTGGCCCACGTGGGAAAGCGGCAGCTGGCCCTGAAGGTTCCATCTGGCTGTGGCTGCTGGCCCTCCGCAGGCTGACTGAGTGTGGTAAACACTGCCGTGGACAGAGCAGTTCAGGGGAAGCGCTTGGTCTTCGTGCCCTTTGCCACTCGTTGAAGCTTTGTAACCAGCTTGTCCCAGGACTGTCAGAAGACAGGAGCTTCTTTTATCTCTGCCCAGGTGAGCTTGCAACCAAGGAAAAAACAGGCAGATGGCAGCTCCCTGGGAAAGGTGAGGAGGTGTCACCTACCAGTGCAGGCCAGAGGAAGGTGTCTGGGGCAGGCTTCGGAGTCAGAAACGCTATGCTTGACTCTATCCCTGACCCTTGTTTGTCCTGAGGGCTCCGGCATGTCACTGTACTGCTTGTGGAGCTCAGCTTGCTCATGTGCGAAGCAGGCGACAGCAGTGCTCCTGGTGCCAGGCTTGTGGTAGGGGTAAAAGGAGGTAATTTTGGATGTAAAAGTGCCTTGGAGGGGCTCGATAGAGGTGAGTTGCCTTCTTTGTCTTCCCTAGTGGAAGAAGAAGAAAAATTCACTGTAAGTTACGAGCGGGCATCTGTCCTTCTCATTCTTTGCAGAGTGGTTCCCGAGAGGGCCTTGTCAGCCGCTCCTGACCATTCTTCTCCTGGAGATGTGGTTCTTTTCAAAAGTGGTAGAGGGTGATAAGTGGAAACATCTTTCATTATAACCTCACATTCTGCAGAGCTTTGTATTTATATAAAAGCCTCCTGGGTGCTGCACCTAGGATTCACTTTCAGCCTTTTCATTCTTTATTTTCCCTGTTGCTTTGAAACAAACAAAAAAAAAAAGGCAGGACAAACATTTCCTAACAATATCTGGTGATAAGAACCCCTCAGACAAAGTAGTCCATTTGACCTCAGTTTATCTATCTTGGAAATGGGAGAAGGAAAACATTTCCGCTTAAGCGTATTGAAAGTATCCACTGACTGAGAACACTAAGGTTCAAATGTAACATGCGCTGAGTTACAGTTGCTCATGCAATGCTTCTAGGAGATCCTTGAGTTTAAAGATTTTTTTTTTTTTCCTGATTTCATCCACATCTCTTAATGTCAGGGACCCTATAAGGGTGCAATAGATGTGTGCTAAGCATGACAATTTGACTTGAATTTGCACCTTTTAATGTTGTATATCTCATGCCAGCGGGCGAGACCTAGGACTTAGTGGAGAGCGTCTCTTCTCCAGGAGGCGGGGACTCCTACAACAAAGAGCTAGCTGTCTGCAGTAACCTGCTGTGGTGGTTGGGAAGGTCTGTTTTTCTGGACCGAGGGACTAACTGAGAAAATCCCACCAAGTGTGCTGTGTCCCAGCTCAGGACACTGGGGAGCCCGGAGCCGGAGCTGCTGCTGCTGCTGCAACGTGTACCCTCAGGGACGGCTGGGAATTGCAGTTCTCCTTCTTGGCGAGGTTGTCTTGCTTGAACAGGGTTACTCTTGATAGCCTGTTATTGTCATTTCAGGGTGAGGTACTCAGGTTGCTTCTAAAGTCCCCAGAGACTGAGCTTGTCTCTCTTAGTCTTCTATGGCTAAATTTCTGAATGGGAGCGTCCACTCTTCAGAGCCAACTAGATTTTTAAAGGAAAGCAAAAGAGAGAAGAAAATGGAGGGGAAACCACTAGCTGGTAATACAGATTATTTTGTAAAGGCACCGGGATGCTTTCCACCACTTCCTTTCTTGTTGCCCACACCTACGACAGGAGGTATTTGAGGGTTTTTCCACTAGCAAGTGGGAGCTTTAAGGGTTTGGTGCCAAATGCTATGAAGCTCCTTCCAAGTGACCTGTGATGGCTGTCACATGACCCCATGGTGCACATTTTTATGCTTGGTCAGTAAAGAGCCCGGATACAGAAGATTTTTAACATTTCAGGGACCTCTAAAGAATTAGACACCCCTCCCTTTCTTTGACATCACCCATACCCAAATCCACAAGCATATTGACTGTGGGTTCCAGCCTTTGGTGGCCAAGTCTAAGTTGCTGTATTTTACTCTAAGCAAACCTTATCTGCATGTATTGTTAACTCAAAGACCATGAGATCTACTTATCAGGACCAGAAAGATAAAACTCTTTGGGGATATTCCAACTCTACTGCATTTCCTCAAAACCTAGTAGACACTGCAGAGGGAGCCCTGAAATTTTTGTGGCTCTCTTCCTCACAGGCTCACACAGGATGTATAATTGCAGCAGGAAAACACACGATGGGAAATTTCCATAACCTGCACACTGAAACCTGGAAAATCATCCTTGCTGGGTAGAATTGATTATGATGCAATAAGTGCCAAGCGCTGTTCTCACCATGAGACAGGCTAGAAAGTGCTGCAAAGAAAAAAAATAAAATAAGCAGACCACTGCATTATTTACATTTTAATATTTGGTGGGGGAAGGTTGGGAGAAATTCGTTCTGAGGTTATGGATTTTTTAAAGATTACTAAATAAAGTTATTTTTAAGTAAATGTTTTAGTGATTTTGTTTTGGACTATGATTAAATGCAGAGATTTGGAAAGAGGAGTTTGTGAAGAAAAAAGATTTTTTTTTTTAACTTGGTTTCCTAAAACTGGAAACAGTATTGTTTCCCTTACTATTTTATTTTCTTCCGTGACTTGTACATGGCAACGATATAAATTTTACATGAAGGGGCTGAGGATGTGGCTCTAACAGAGCTCTTGCTTACTGTAAGTGAAGTCTTTGGTTCCTACAGGAGATAAAGAATGAGCAGGAGAAAATTAGAGAACAACATTGAAGGAGCGAGGGTTAAGTGGAGCCAGATTTAGCAAAAGAGGAAAGGATGGTGGGATTTGTGTTTCACTTCTGGAGATTTGGGGAGGGATAAACTCTTCTCTGAACCTGTGGATAAGTGGTTCCTCTTCACTCATTACTATGTTTTTTAAAATGTATTTAGGACAGGGTCTACTGGGTCTCAGTACACAGATCCGACTCGTAGTGATTCTCCTGTTTTCAGCCTCCCAAGCGCTGGGATTACAGCCATGCGCAGTGTCTACCTGGGGCAGCACTGCTCGCCCAGGATCTGTGCTCTGGCCTGTCTACCTGAGCAGGCGCTTTAGTCCGCTGGGCTATCTGGCCCACCCTCTCTACTCATTGTTGATAATGGGGCAGTTCTGGGACTCTTTCTTGGGAAACCATTATTTTATTTATTGCCCTATATGTGAGGGTGATTATTGTGACATCTATTGCCAGGTTTGTTTCAGGAGGCACTGGTGGGGCATTGTGGAATCAGGGAACCTGAAATTACACTTGTCCAATTCCTAAAGAGGCCAGGAAGCCAGATAAAAAGAGAATGCAAGTGGGAGACTGAAAACTGGGCTGAATACGAAAGTGGAGGCTTGGAGAAAGGCAAGCGAGGCTACCACAAAAGGAAACAACTGTACCTGGCTGGGGGTGAATGACTAATGCCAGCACTTCGGTAGGCTGAGGCAGGAGGACTGTTTCGGCCCAGACTGTAATTTAGGACCTTAGGGAGACCCATCTCAAGGGGAGGAGCGCTGGAAATGCAGCTAGGGCAAAGACCCTGGCTGCTGAAGAATGTGCGGGAAACCTGGAGCGGGAGCAAGCAGCGGGAGGCCACATGCCAGCCCTTTCAAGGATGTGTGTGGGTGATGCTGACGAGGCGTTATTTGGGATTGCAATTAGCTGGGCCCATCGAGAAACCCAAGGCCACCAATAACTGCAGGGGAGCGGGCAACTGCTAAGACCCCCCTCCCCCACTCCGCGATAACAGTACTGGAAGGCAAACCACAGACCCAGACCCACAAGGGTGCCTGAGGGTTGCGGCAGGTAGAATAAAAGGCCGGCAAGCCCCCCGGGGGCTGGGAAGGGCCCAAGAGCCCTGCTGGCTGCCTCCGGAGACCCTTCCCGCCGCGCGCAGGACCCCTGCCTCGAGTCCACCACCCAGCTCCCCGCGCCACCCCACTTTCCCTTACACCCTCCCGTCTCCCCTCCAGCTCTGCACCTTCCCAGGGGCTCCCATCTCCCGTCTGCCTTCCGGAGCCCGCGTCGCCCCTGCCTGTCCGACCCCTCCACCGCCATCTGCCTGCCGATGCGCTCCCCACCGCCCCTTACCCCGTCGGCACCCCCATCGCCTTGTGTCTAACCCGCCCTCCTAGCTTTGCCACTTTTGAGCACTTCCAGCACCCTCAACCCCCGGCTGTGCGGGGTCAGCGTTCTGAGCCCCCCTTCGATCCGGTCTGCGTCCCAGCCCCCACATTTTTCCCACAATCCCGATCCTCTCATTCGTTTTATCTGGCAGTGCTCCACGACTCCCTGTTTTTTTCCTCAGCACCCCCTTTTCTCACGCTCGGGCTTGGCCTCTGCGAACCCGTCCGGCCTCCTCCTCCCCCTCTCCCCCCGATTTCTCAGCACCCTCCCCCCCCACACCCTGCTTCCTC